AAGTATCAGTTGAATTAGTGCAGCGCCGAGTAGCAAAAAGAGGCCTGGTCATTAAGGAGGGTAAATCCTCTGGAGCTCAAGTGGTTAATATGGGTACTGATGTAAAAGAGTCCCTTTAATGAGTTGAAAGCGTTTTGGGCTTCCGGTGTCCAATGGAATCGGACTCCCTGTTTGGTTAATTGAGTGATAGGAGTGATGATGGTTGAGAATCCCTTGATGAACCTCCTGTAAAAATTGGCAAAGCCTATGAAGCTCTGTACTCCCTTTTTGTCAGGTGCTGCTGGCCATTCCAGAATGGCAGAAACTTTCTGGGGATCCATCTTGAAGCCTTCAGTGGATATAATTAGTCCCAGGAACTGAATGCTCTGATGTTCAAATTCACATTTCTCTGGTTTAGCGTAAAGTCCATGTAATCAGAGGCGATCAAGGACCTTCTGCACATGACCCCGGTGAAGCTCGATGGATGTAGAAAAGATCAGGATGTCATCGAGATACACATTCATGAATATGTCTAGGAAATCCCTGAAGATGTTGTTCAATAGATGCTGGAAGGTTGCAGGAGCATTGCACAGTCCGAAGGGCATAACTAAATATTCGTAGTGTGCAAACCTGGTATGGAAGGCTGTTTTCAACTCATCTCCTTCTCTGATCCTTACAAGATTGTAGGCTCCTCTTAAGTCTAATTTAGTAAATACAGTCTCAGATCTGAGCCTCTGAAAGATTCTGGGACAAGTGGCAGAGGATATCTATTCTTCACCGTGATATTATTTAATTCCGGGTAATCCACACATGGACAGAGGGAATGATCCTTCTTTTCTACAAAGAAGATTCCTGCCCCTGCTGGTGAGGTGGAGGGGCGGATGAACCCCTTTTTGAGATTATCCTCAATGTAGTCCTTTAATGCCTCCAACTCATGCTCTGATAGCGGGAAGATCCGACCAAAGGGAATCTCAGCTCCAGGTAGAAGTTCAATCGGGCAGTCGTAGGGCCTGTGAGGTGGAAGGCTGTCTGCACCACGTTTACTGAAGACATCTAGGAAGTCATGGTATGCGGCTGGAACCATCTGGCCTATTTCGGTATCATCTTTCATGCACAACAGAGGCCTGGATGGGGCAGGACTTTGGGGAAAGCAGTGCTTATGGCAGTAGGCCGATTAGAAGTCCACTTCACCAGATACCCAATTTACGCTAGGATTGTGGGCCTGTAACCATGGGATCCCCAAGATGACTGGAAACAATGGTGATGCAATAACATCCAGGCATAGTAGTTCCTTGTGACCAGATGGAGATATTATCACAGGGAGTGGGCTCGTTTCCTGTGTGACTGCCCCAGATTTGATGTGAGATCCGTCGGCCAGATATACTGCCAGTCTCTGAGTTTTGGCTTTTAAGGGTATCTGGTGTTGCTGAGCGAAGGTTGCATCGATAAAGCAACTGCAGGCCCCAGAATCAATGGTAGTGGGTGTCACGGATCCAGCCCACACACCACGCCCACAGCGACTAGCTAACCGAGGCACACACACGTGCGGCCGTGACTTGGGCTAAGAGGGAATAAGGGGGACTTTTTTTTTTTTAATTTAAATATTTATTAATTTTCAAAATAATAGGAAGATAAAATCCACAATACAAATTCTTTACATAAAAAAATATACAATCATTTCCCATATTTTCCTTATTTCTCCCATCCCCCCCTAACAAAATCACCCCCCTTCCCCCTACCCCCCTCCATCCTGCACATCTCTTTACCTTCCACTCTTAGGCAAGAGAAAAAGAGACTTGAAAAATGTTCTTATTACTAAAGGGACTGAAAGAAAGCAAACTCCTTTATCTATTCAGATTCGATCTACACTCTTCCCATTTTTTCCATTTCATGTAATATGTCTCCATCCTATCTTCCTGTACATAAAATAATTTCTCCATTCTACCAATCTGGTCTACTCTTTCTATCCAGTCCTCCTTCTTTTGGAGCTTCTACTTTACGCCAAAACTTTGGTATCAGACTTTTGGCTGCATTTAAAAAGTACCATACACCCGTTTCTTTATATTTATTTACTGATAATTCTGTAATATGTAAAAGGCATCCTTCAGGGTCCAAACCAATATCCATTTCCGTAATCATTCTAATCCGATGCACTACATTTCTCCAGAATACTTGTATTTTTGAACATTTCCACCATATGTGATACATCGTGCCAATTACTCCACACCCCGCCAACACATAGGTGATTTCTCCCCACTCATCTTGTGCTCTATACTCGGTGTAATATACCCTCTTATCAAACATTTATAATTCATTTCCAGCTCGCGTGTACTTACATTCTCATGAATCAATCTAAATATTTTTTTTCTGTTTAGCCTCCTCTATCACCACCCCCAAATCTCTTTCCCATTTTTCTATATACATTAGTTTTTTTTTTCCTATATCTAACTCAGTGAGGATTTTATATATTTTAGCCGTACCGTGTTTCCCATCTCCCCGTGATTCCAACAACCTCTCAAACAAGTTCCAATCTTTTCTAGATCTCAAGAGTTTAGGCAAATTCCCAACAAAACTTTTTAATTGATTATACCTCCAAACATCTATCTTAGTGAAAATCTTTCCCTCTTCCTTTTCCAAATCTTTAAGTGATCTCAATTCTACTCCTTTCATTATATCTCTCAATTGGGCTTCCTCATTTTTGATCCATTTTCCTGAAATTTCCTCCCTACCTGGCGTGAAAAGCCCTGAATTCCTTAATGGCATCAGAAATGAGTTAAAATTGTGCATTTTATCCCACACTCTTAAAACATTTAAAGTATGCACACTCGTGCTCTCTTTTAAACCTCTGTGCTGTGTTGGAACCCATATACTCTTACTTAATTTATTACCACTGAGTGAATTTTCTATAGTGACCCAATGTCAGGGCTCCCGGGTATGACCAGAGGTGTGTGACTGACGCAGGGAAACGCAGACTTCAGATATGTTATAAACAATATCATTTATTGACACTAACAATACAAACATAAACGCAGTGCAATACTAAAACATAACACAGTGCAAACGAACCAAACCAAACCACCCACAGATAACTATACATACAATGCAAGTGTCGTCAGGCAGGCCGGGTCAATATCAATCGGGCAGGTAGGTACAGGGGGAGCAAGCGGAGAATGGTCGGGGTCACAAGCCAGGTTCAGCAGGTAGCGGGCAGCGTGGTACAGAGGGTCAGGCAGAGGGATGGTCAGGAACGAGCCGGGGTCAGAGCAGGAGAAGTCAGCAGAGGTCAGATCAGGCAGGGTCAGCAACAAGACAGGAACAGGAGGAACAGGATGCAGGGCCCAGGAAAAACACACACCAAGGCAGAGTCTGCAGGTCTGGCCATCCCTTAAATACACCAGTATAAGCAGTTTCAGGTGTTTAGCTGGCTGCAAGGTTGAGTCTCTGATTGCTGGGAGCACCCGCTGGCCAGCCCTGGTACTGCAGCTCATAAGGCAGGTGAGTCCCACCATTGCTGGCCAGTCCATTCCTGACAGTACCCCCCCCTCAAGGAGCGGCCTCAGGACGCTCCAAACAGTCCTAGCTGGGCAAAATGTTCCACCGCCCGGGTCTGGTAACTGGCGGGATATCAAAGACTGGCACACCGGGCAGGACTCCGGCAGCGGCCCATCGGGCAGCGGCACACCGGGCAGCGGCCCATCGGGCAGCGGCACACCGGGCAGAGGCACATCGGGCAGCGGCACATCGGGCAGGACTCCGGGCAGCGGCACATCGGGCAGGACTCCGGGCAGCGGCACATCGGGCTGGACTCCGGGCAGCAGCACATCGGGCTGGACTCCGGGCAGCGGCACACCGGGCAGGACTCCGGGCAGCGGCACACGGGCAGAGGCACGGGCAGAGGCACACCGGGCAGAGGCACATCAGGCAGAGGCACATCGGGCAGCAGCACACAGGGCAGCGGCACACCGGGCAGGACTCCGGGCAGCGGCACACCAGGCAGAGGCACATCGGGCTGGACTCCGGGCAGCGGCACATCGGGCTGGACTCCGGGCAGCGGCACATCGGGCTGGACTCCGGGCAGCGGCACATCGGGCTGGACTCCGGGCAGAGGCACATCGGGCTGGACTCCGGGCAGAGGCACATCGGGCTGGACTCCGGGCAGAGGCACATCGGGCTGGACTCCGGGCAGAGTCACATCGGGCTGGACTCTGGGCAGAGGCACATCGGGCTGGACTCTGGGCAGAGGCACATCGGGCTGGACTCCGGGCAGAGGCACATCGGGCTGGACTCCGGGCAGAGGCACATCGGATCACCAGGCAAAGCAGCAGGCAGCGGGCCACCAGGCCGAGCAGCAGGCACCGGGACCCCAGGCGGGGCGACAGGCATCGGGCGCCCCAGGCGGGGCGACAGGCATCGGGCCCCCAGATGGGGCGACGGGCATCGGGCCCCCAGGTGGAGCAGCGGGCGCCGGACCCCCAGGCAGAGCGGCGGGCGCCGAACCCCCAGGCGGAGCGACAGGTCTCGGGCCCCCAGGCGGAGCGGCGGCGCCGGACCCCCAGGCGGAGCGACAGGTCTCGGGCCCCCAGGCGGAGCAGCGGGCGCCGAACCCCCAGGCGAAGCGACAGGTCTCGAGCCCCCAGGCGGGAGCGGCGGGCGCCAGACCCCCAGGCGGAGCGACAGGTCTCGGGCCCCCAGGCGGAGTGGCGGGCGCCGGACCTCCAGGCGGAGCGACAGGTCTCGGGCCCCCAGGCGGAGCGGCGGGCGCCGGACCCCCAGGCGAAGCGACAGGTCTCGGGCCCCCAGGCGAAGCGGCGGGCGCCGTACCCCCAGGCGGAGCGACAGGTCTCGGGCCCCCAGGCGGAATGGCGGGCGCCGGACCCCCAGGCGGAGGAGCGACAGGCACCGAGTCACCAGGCATGACAGTGGGCTCCGAGTCAACTGGCATGACAGTGGGCTCCGAGTCAACTGGCATGACCGCTGGCACTGGGTCAGACAATGGATCGTCTGGCTGGACAGCGGGCATCGGGTCACCAGGCATCAGGTCATTTGGCTCGACAGCGGGCACCGCGTCATCTGGCAAGGCAGTGGGCTCCGAGTCAACTGGCAGGACCGCGGGCACTGGGTCAAACATTGGATCGTCTGGCTGGACAGCGGGCATCGGGTCACCAGGCATCAGGTCATTTGGCTCGACAGCGGGCACCGCGTCATCTGGCAAGGCAGTGGACTCCGAGTCAACTGGCGTGACCGCGGGCACTGGGTCAGACATTGGATCGTCTGGCTGGACAGCGGGCATCGGGTCACCAGGCATCAGGTCATTTGGCTCAACAGCGGGCACCGCGTCATCTGGCAAGACAGTGGGCACCAAGTCACCAGGCACGACCGTGGGCTCTGAGTGTCAATTGGCACGACAGCGGGCACCGGGTCATCAGGTACCGGATTGGCTGGCTCGACAGCAGGCATCAGGTCACCAGGTATGACAGCGGGCACTGGGTCACCAGGCATCAGGTCATTTGGCTCGCCAGCGGGCACCGCGTCATCTGGCAAGGCAGTGGGCACCGAGTCACCAGGTACGACAGCGGGCTCTGAGTCAATTGGCACGACAGCGGGCACCAGATCAGGTACCGGATCGTCTGGATCAACAGCGGGCATCGAGTCAACTGGCCTAATAGGATCATCAGGCTGGATCAGTTCATCATGCTGGGTAGAGGCATCAGGCTGAGCGGAGGCATCAGGCTGAGCGGAGGCATCAGGCTGAATAGAGGCATCAGGCTGAATAGAGGCATCAGGCTGAATAGAGGCATCAGGCTGGGTACAGGCATCAGGCGGAGTGGAGGCATCAGGCCGAGTGGAGGCATCAGGCCGAGTGGAGGCAACAGGCCGAGTGGAGGCATCAGGCCGAGTGGAGGCATCAGGCCGAGTGGAGGCATCAGGCCGAGTAGAGGCATCAGGCCGAGTAGAGGCATCAGGCTGAATACAGGCATCAGGCTGAATACAGGCATCAGGCTGGGTACAGACCTCAGGCTGAAGTGCGGGTGCCAAGGCACCAGGCTGAACCACGGAAGGCAGGTTCTCAGACGGCAGGCTCACTGGTTCGGATACTGGCAGGATGGTATTGGTTGGAAAGAATTTCCGCTTCTTTTCTGGTTTTAACTACTGGAGCACTGCAAGTAAACGCAGGTCTGCAAACAAATGGAGCAGCTGGAGACAGAGAAGAGCTGGAGGATGGAACAGGGGAGGGAGCAGTTGCTACAGAGGGCTTTTTTACAGGGTTAAAGGCAGGATAGGTGCAGCGAGTGGGAACAGGGTACTGACATGTGGTAGACAGCAGGGCAGGAGGAGCTGTTGGGAATGCAGGAATAGAGCTTTGAGGAAATAGATTAGAAGCAGGATTGGGTTTTGTAAGCTGACTGAGGCTGGGTGCAACAAATCTGTCCATGTCTGCAGTATGGGTTGAACAAAGCTCCGCTTACACAAAGCCTGTCTGACCAAAGACTGCACTGCGTTTATACAATCTCTTAGTACCTGTGGTGAACATGCAGAATAACGCTCCAGAAAGTAATCCACATCATCCTCTAATAACCATACCAGGGACTCTACCTGGTCGGCACTAAATGGCGGCAAAAATTCATCCCTGCATTTGGGGGTACCAGATGAAAACCAGATGAAACCAACTCCGCACAAATCTGAATCAATGGCTGTACCTCAGAGAATTCTGTGCCCTGATCTACTAGAACATGAGCGATCCTTATACATTCTAGCAGTTCATCCCGGGGATACTCCCTCAGAGTCTGATAAGCATACTCTCTGTCATCAAACACTAGCAGATATAAATACACAACCTCATCAAGATCCATCCTTCCCATCAACAAACCAAGATGGCTTCCCTGTGCAGCCACTTCTGGTCAGGATTGGCCTTGGTGTAATGTCAGGGCTCCCGGGTATGACCAGAGGTGTGTGACTGACGCAGGGAAACGCAGACTTCAGATATGTTATAAACAATATCATTTATTGACACTAACAATACAAACATAAACGTAGTGCAATACTAAAACATAACACAGTGCAAACGAACCAAACCAAACCACCCACAGATAACTATACATACAATGCAAGCGTCGTCAGGCAGGCCGGGTCAATATCAATCGGGCAGGTAGGTACAGGGGGAGCAAGCGGAGAATGGTCGGGGTCACAAGCCAGGTTCAGCAGGTAGCGGGCAGCGTGGTACAGAGGGTCAGGCAGAGGGATGGTCAGGAACGAGCCGGGGTCAGAGCAGGAGAAGTCAGCAGAGGTCAGATCAGGCAGGGTCAGCAACAAGACAGGAACAGGATGCAGGGCCCAGGAAAAACACACCAAGGCAGAGTCTGCAGGTCTGGCCATCCCTTAAATACACTAGTATAGCAGTTTCAGGTGTTTAGCTGGCTGCAAGGTTGAGTCTCTGATTGCTGGGAGCACCCGCTGGCCAGCCCTGGTACTGCAGCTCATAAGGCAGATGAGTCCCACCATTGCTGGCCAGTCCATTCCTGACACCCAACTTTTCCCTTTTGAATTATGTGTCCAATCAAATATTCTAGCCAAAATTACTGCTTTATAATATCTATTAAAATCTGGCACTCTCAGTCCACCTTTTTCTTTATTTCTACTCATCACTTCATAAGATACTCTAGGTTTTTTATTTCTCCAAATATATCTTTTTATCATATTTTTAATCATCTTAAAATATACCTCTGGAAGCTTAATAGGGACCATTTGGAATTTATATAGGATTTTGAGGACACTTACCGTTTTTATCAAATTTATACGTCCTATCCAGGAATGATTTCCTCCTCCTAATCTCTTTAATTCCTCTCTAATTTCATTTAACATTTCTATATAATTTGATTTATAAAGGTTTTTATATGCCGAAGTGAGTTTTACCACCAAATATTTTCATTTTCTCTCTTTCCACACAAAGGGAAATTCCCCTTGTATCCCCTTTTTTTTCTTATTTGGAAGATTTATGTTTAATATCTCTGTTATTTTTTAAGTTTGACATCTCTCTATATTCCTTCAATGCCTTCATTAAATTAGGGAGCGTTGCCCTAGGATTTCCAACATAGAACAATAAATCGTCCGCAAAAGCGGCAACCTTATACTCTACATTTCCTATACATATTCCCTTTATGTCTGGGTTTTTCCTTATTGTTGACAACAATGGTTCCAAGGACAAAACGTACAACAATGGAGACAACGGGCAACCCTGTCTTGTTCCATTTGTCATCCCAAATGACTCTGACATCTCTCCATTTACCATAACCACTGCGGAGGGACTCCTGTACAACTTTCCTATCCATGCTCTCATTCTAGCCCCCACTCCCAGGGCCTCCAATGTATCCATCATGAATCCCCAATTAACTCTATCAAATGCCTTCTCTGCATCCACTGAAAGAACCACCACTGGAGTCTTTCCCTTTCTACTTTGCTGAATAAGCAACAAGGATCTCAACCCATTGTCTCTACCCTCTCTCCCTTGAACAAAACCACCTGATCTTCGTGTATCCATTCGGGCATTAACTCTTTCAGCCTATTCGCTAAGATCTTTGCATATATCTTCGTATCTGTAGTCAATAATGATATTGGTCTATAACTTGAACATTGGGCAGGATCTTTTCCTTCTTTGTGAATAAGAACCACCTGAGCCTGCAGGGATTCTCGCCTCATATCAATCTCTCCCCCCAAAGTGTTGAAATAGGACTTCAATTTAGGTATTAACAATTCACTGTATTTTTTATAATATCTAACAGTGTATCCGTCAGGCCCTGGGCTTTTACCCATCATGGAGCTTTTTAATGCTGTGTTTATTTCTTCATATGTAATTTCACAATCTAGGGAGTTCAATAATTCTTCATTTAATTTTGGTTATCTATTAAGTCTTGGGGGGCAATATTATAAAGTTTACTATAGTAATGCTTAAATACCTTCGCAATATCTCTAGTTGAGTGAATCAGTTCTCCCTTGGGGTTTTTTATTTTATCTATATAATTCCTATTCTTCTTTTTTTTCAGAGCTCTCATTAAAAACTTTCCTGGTTTATCTCCCCATCTATACCTTTCACATAATACTTTATTAAAGACTCTCCTCTTCTCCTCTTCCATCATATTCTCTAATTCTTCTTTCTTTTTTTTAACTTTCTGCTTTATCTCTTGTGCTATATTCTTTTTATGCAACTGTTCAAACTCAGCTAATTCCTTTAGGAGCCCACTAATTTTCTCTCTCTCTTTCTCTTTTTTTCCTTGCCCCAATTGCGATAAGGATTCCTCATATATATATCTTATGGGCCTCCCAAACTGTAGCCACCGACACATCTCCTGTTTCATTTTCCTCAAAATATCTCCTTATCTCCTCTCAAATCTTCCTCTCGGTCTCTTGATCCATTAAAAGTGCCTCATTCAACCTCCACACCGACCCTCCTGGAGGTCTCTTTCCCCATCCCACTTTCATTACAACAGGGGCATGATATGAGAGTGACCTTACCTCTATTGTTACTTTGACCAGAGACTCTATTAATCGGTCATCTATCAGTACATAGTCCAACCTAGAATACATCTCATGAACCTTTGAAAAGAAGGAATAGTCTCTATCTTTCATGTGCATGATTCTCCAACTGTCTACCAATTGATATTCCCTTATCACTTTTCTCAGTAATCTTAGGGACTTACTCCCCTCCCTTTGTGCAGTGGAAGTTGTATCCATTTGAGGGTCCATACATAAATTAAAATCCCCAGCTACTATCAAATATCCCTTTCTAAAATCCATCAATTTTTTTAAAACTTTTTTCAAAAATAGCTCCGGCTATTTTTTGGGCAATAAATATTAGCAACTGTACATTCAATATCTTGTAATTTACCTTTCAGGATAAAAACCTCTAATCCGGATCAGTCTTTCTATCCTCCAGCTCAAACCTTATATTCCTTGCAAATCCTATAGCTACTCCCTTTGCTCTCTTAATTGGGGAATCTGCATAATACCATGATGGATAATATCTGGAGTTCAACTTAACGTTTGTCTTCAATTCAAAATGCGTTTCCTGAAGGAAAACCACTGAGGCTGTTCTATATTGTAATTTCTTAAATAATTTAAACCTTTTCCCTGGACAATTCAACCCGTTTACATTATAAGTTATAAACCTTAAATCTTCCATTTTCTCTATATCTTTTTCCTTTCTCTCTATCTTCTCCTCTCCTCCCCTTTCTCTGCCCTTCTTACTCCTCTCTTCACGCAGGCTATCAACCCTACTCCCCTCCCCCCTCCCCCCAACCCTCCTCTCTCCAATCCATCCCCCCTCCCCCTCCCACCCCTCCCTTCTTTTAGGCTTGCATTTTGCCTATACATCTTTTGGCGGTCCAAGCCCACCATAGATTTACCACCTTGGGGTTGAACTCCACCTATGGACGGTCCCCCCTACTTCCCATCACCTCGGATACCCCGTATCTATCTAGTTAGTTCGATATGGTCCCAGCAGCTCTTGAAGCCTAGGATAGAGAGAGAGAGAGAGAAAGAAGAAAAAAAAAAATGCAACAATAACTATACCCA